GAATTCCGAAACTAAACATGGACGGTTCCTCTACCTGTAGCAAATTCGGATAATCATGTTAACTGAGTTTGCTAAGATGAATCCAGCAGCATGGAACTTATAACACAAAATCACATTTAATCCTATATGAGCAGTAGCGGATAAAAACAAGAAGCCTCCATGAGAAACAACCTGCAAAGTAGTAGCTTGCCATATTGTTAAAATTACTCTGGATATATAAGATATCTTGATATAGAACAAATACACAAGGCAATCCATTCTATTTGTAATTTTCTCGAAAAACACAATCATTTCGAAGTGCAAAAGACGCAGAGCGGTTGCTTCTTTTACGAGTAAAGCTGAATCTTTCACCTGTGAATTGTTCATGGATGCCATTGCAAAACATTCAGTGATTCCATTTATGGCAATGATCAGAATATAAAAGCAATATAGGGAGAGCAGAACGGCACCTAGAAGCAGTTGTTGTTTAGAATATTTCACTGGTTCGAACCTCCGTTATCGGCTAACAAACTTCCTCCGTAGAGCCATACTGCAAGTTTTGAGTACGGAACGCCGAATACGGAAACCACAAGCCCTATTACAAGAGTGATGTGCAAGATCGTTCCGAACTTTTTCGCTAGACTATCGTGAGCGTCCTGAGAAATTTCCCTTCAATCAAAATGGCAGGGTATACTCACCGTATTTTGCTTGAAAACTGCGGATTGCTTGTTTATATGGTTTGAAAACTCAGCGTAACAATTCTCTTCAAGTGGAGCTAGTACTATTCTAGCAACTAGACTAGCGAGCCTTTCGACTCCATCAAAAACAGCTGAAACTATCATTTTTGAAATGTAGAAAATATGAGGTAACCTTGATTTTTCAGTGAAAGTAAATCGGTGAAAGTCATCACATAGCTACTTCCACTAGTCAATAACTGTTTTAGAATTGAATGGGAGAAGAGTGATCCTACAGATTTCAGCATTTCTTTATTCAAGCCATCCCTTAATCAAAGAAGTTGAGAAAGTAGATCAAGAAAGCTATACTTCGGAGTAGGGAAAAAGCTTCTGAAGCTTTGGAACTGAGCTAGCTCAGGAAGATTCTTCTTGGAATACTGATAAAACTTGAAGACGTTATAGAAAAGGTACAAGAGTGACGCTATGATCTGCAAGGAAATAAACAAAATACCATGTGAATTTAAACAAACCTGGGAAATGGCAAAAATATCCAAGTGATAGACGGTGTTACTCGTGAAGATTATCAGAGCAAAAGCTACGAATCTTTTCAAAACCACTAGGAGCGCTTGAGAAATAGCAAAATGACTACCAATCGAAAACCTGATAAAATATGTGAATCTAGGAATAACATTAATTCGCACCTGAGTGAATAAACTACAAAAGGCTCCGCAAACGATTCGATCATGGAAGAAACAGGGAAACATAGGAATATCCATAATGGGACGGAGCTACTAGTACCTATCGCCCACAATCCCATACATACCAGTGAAATCAAGAAGCATATAAGGGGACTGAAATGAGCGTTGTCTGTTAGGTTCCCCTGAATGATTAAACCTTAGCCAAACG